AGGTAATCATCTGCTCATAGCCTATTAGAATGCATACAGTGGGGTTTCTTCTTGTGTGATGAACTAAACAACATTGCAACAAAGCAAAGCGTTGTGTCCTATGACAAATAACAGTCACGGGATAATGGCTTAACTTTTTATTTTATGTGTCCCAATCTCCTTTAGGTGAAAATGAAGTGCTATTTTAGAACCAAACTGTGAACTGGAAGATGAACGAAAAACAATAAGGCAGCATTTGGCATTTCAATATGGCATATATGCTGTAGATATGCTATATGTCCCTTTAGTAACACACCTGAAAGCATTATTAGCAGCATGCATGCTTTAGCTCAAGCGCAGGATATGGGGGGGGACATACAGGGGCAGAGACAGACAGAGGGGAGTCAAGTACCAGTATGTTTCTATGCAATATTTTGTTGCTATAATAAATCGTGTTGATTTTAATAATGCACAGTGGAAGGAAGGCGAAGCATGTTAGAGAAGCCGTGTCACTCAGACAGTTCTTAGCCTGGTATTAACAAAACATCTGAAACAGTACAGAACATAGCCTGGTATTAACAATATATTGTATCTGGAAAAAGTACAATACTTTTCCTGATCATAACATCTGAAACTAGAGTTTCCCAACATGTTTCTGATTTTCCAGAAGTCCTTGTCTGAGGATTCCGGATTTCCTACATATTCACGGAATCTTCCAACCAGGATTTCTGGAAAACTCTATCAGATTGTTTGCCACCCTATCTGAAACAGTACAATACTTAACCTGGTCGTATCAATACATTCTGTCTGTCTGTCTGCCCTACACACACCACTCAAGTTCTTAGCCTGGTAGTATCATCTGAAACAATACAGTATCTAGCCTGGTAATAGGTCTAACATCTGAGACCTACAGTACTTATCTTGATAGTATCAACACATTCTGTCTGTCTGTCTGTCTGTCTGTCTGTCTGTCTGTCTGTCTGTCTGTCTGTCTGTCTGTCTGTCTGTCTGCCTGTCTGCCTGTCTGTCTGTCTGTCTGCCTGTCTGTCTGCCTCTGTCTGCCTGTCTGTCTGCCTGTCTGCCTGTCTGTCTGCCTGTCTCTGTCTGCCTGTCTGCCTGTCTGTCTGTCTGTCTGCCTGTCTGTCTGTCTGCCTGTCTCTGTCTGCCTGTCTCTGTCTGTCTGCCTCTGTCTGTCTGCCTGTCTGCCTGTCTCTGTCTGCCTGTCTCTGTCTGTCTGCCTCTGTCTGTCTGCCTGTCTGTCTGCCTGTCTGTCTGCCTGTCTGTCTGTCTGCCTGTCTGTCTGTCTGTCTGTCTGCCTGTCTGTCTGTCTGTCTGCCTGCCTGTCTGCCTGCCTGCCTGCCTGTCTGTCTGCCTGTCTCTGTCTGCCTGTCTGTCTGCCTGCCTGTCTGTCTGTCTGTCTGTCTGTCTGTCTGTCTGTCTGTCTGTCTGCCTGCCTGTCTGAACTACACCACTTTAGAAGCAGCAGTGTGTCATTGTAAGACATGCGACTCATAAAATAAAGAAAGGAAATCAAGCCGAACTTTGCATCAAAGATCAAACTATTCACTTGTCTGTTTTGTTAAGAACACTTTTGAACCTAAAATCACTTCCCATTCCATTCATGTGTGCGTTCCAAACGGTGCCCTATTCCATACGTACTGCACTACTTTTGGGACGCAGCCCATAACACACGAGTGATAGTTCCTACCTCTCATTTGGTTTGTAGGTTGAGAACTGTTGTAGGTGCACTTGTGTCTAGGTTGTGAAGTGACTGGGTCTGCATTCCAAATGGCACCCTATTCCCTATGTAGTGCACTACTTTTGACCAGAGCCCTGTGGGGTTCCCTATGGTCCCTGGTCAAAAGTAGTGCACTACATAGGGAATAGGGTGCCATTTTGGGATGCAACCTAGGTGATGAAGAGGAAGTCATTCAGTATCTGAGTGATCTGGGTTTGATCCTCTGTTAGCTCAATGCCACCTGGGTATACCTGAAACAACCTGAGGACCCTCTTCCCTAACCCCACGACCTCTGACCTAACCATAACATTAACCTTACGAACCACAACCCACCACTCGAACCCACTGCTTAAACTGCAACCCAAACCATTCAAAACAGGGACGTTTCCAAGCCGTCCCCTTTGTGTTCTCTAGCTACAGTGTTTATGTCAGAAGGACAGCAGTGAAGAGACTAAAAAGAAGACTGTTGTTGTTGTTGTTGTTGTTGTTGTTGTTGTTGTCGTTACGGAGAGTCAGAGTAGAGGGGTGCAAGCAGGGTTTGTAAAATTCAGGCAACCAAAATTCTCAGGTTTTCCAGATATCCCAGTTAGAGTATTCCCAGATTCCCTGCTTGTTCCATCCTGATTCTGGGAATCTTCCAACCAGGATTTCTGGAAAACCTGGGATGTCACAACCCTAGGCGCTAGTTACCGCCCCCCCCTTCCATCAATCCCTCTCTTGGTCACTTGAGCTTGGTGCCAACCTGCAGGATGGTGGGAGTCTGCTCCATAATGCGAACCAGCAGGGTGTCTATGTAGTCCTCCAGGTCCCTAACCTGAGGCTTCATTTTCTTCAACTCCGCCTCCCGCTTCGCTAGCAACGCCCCCTGTTGGTCAAACTCCGCCCTCTGCCGGTGTAGGTCCGCCTCCTGTCGGAGGAGGAGGGCGACCAGCTCACTGTGGGTCAGGTGGTAGTAAGGCCCAGCTCCCGCCGTCAGAGACTAGGAGAGGGAGAGAGGGAGAGAGAGGAGAGGTCAAAACAACAGGAGAGAGAGAGAGAGAGAGAAGGGGAAACAGAGGTTGGATTAAGTTCAGTTAAACAGAGAAACTGCCAATTGCTTCAGTTTGTGCTTTCTGTGTGGTATTTCTGTGTGGTATTTCTGTGTAGTATTTCTGTGTAGTATTTCTGTGTAGTATTTCTGTGTGGTATTTCTGTGTAGTATTTCTGTGTAGTATTTCTGTGTGGTATTTCTGTGTAGTATTTCTGTGTAGTATTTCTGTGTAGTATTTCTGTGTAGTATTTCTGTGTAGTATTTCTGTGTAGTATTTCTGTGTGGTATTTCTGTGTGGTATTTCTGTGTGGTATGTGCTAAGAGGCGGCAGGTAGCTTAGTGGTTAAGAGCGTTGTGCCAGTAACCGAAAGGTCTCTGGTTCTAATCCCCGAGCCGACTAGGTGAAAAATCTGTTGATGTGCCCTTGAGCAAGGCACTTAACCCTAATTGCTCCTGTAAGTCTCTCTGGATAAGAGCGTCTGCTAAACGACGTAAATGTAACTAGTCTGTACTTTTTTCTTCTCAGGCTGCTGCTCGATGGGCTGGCTGCTCCTCCCAGGCTGGATGGAGGACTTGAGTTTCTCCAGCACCGTCCGCCCCTCGGAACGTTCCGCCCGTCTCCTCTCCTCTGGGGTCAGGGGCTTCACTGGGTGAGGACTGTAAAGGGACATACAGTAAGATGGATCACTGAGAGAAAAGGGAACAAAATGAAAAGTCCATCTTTCAGACCCCGGATTTGAACCTGTCCATTTTGAGTTGAAGATAGTTTCACAGAGAAATGTCAAAGATCATCATTGTCAGTGAAATGTAGTGATAATTTGAAACGCCTCAAATCAAGCAGCCATTAAATACAACGAATAACAGAATCACCTAAATACAGTAAAACCCATTAAGCGAGGAAACCATTAAGTGAAATATCCTCATTTGACACAGACAAACCCTGTCAACTCCATCTTTAACCTCCAGGACTCCCCCCTCATAGCAGTGTTATTGACAGGTCTGTCTGAGTGTGAATATACCTTTTTCCAGTACACAACACACTGACATCATGCACAGATGCGCGCAACACTTGGCGGCAGTAAGAAAGCCATCGCCATCTGCGGCCATTCAACATAGTCTAGATTGATGTTTTTATTACTTCTAAACAAAATAATTTTGGGGTTCTCGTACGCTTACAATTATGTTTTGATTCTTGCTTGAACAGTCGCTAAGATTATATTTGGTTGTGATCTTTGCAAAATAACTATTTTGGATGCTCATTGACAAAGAGCCATTTTAACGGTTGAAGTGTTTTTTTAGTATAATGCAGTTGATTTGCGATGATGACACATTATATTAAGCAGGACATTCATACGAGCCTGAAAATCCAATTATAATCCAAAAGTATTGTGAAATGCCTCATAAGCAACATGTAAATAGAGGCTTTTCTTGCCGTCTTTCTAGAAGTCCCCCTTGTTCTGCCACCAACTTCCGAGCATGGCCCTCGTGTGGCAATGTTTGCAAACACAGAAAGGGGTCTATACTACCTTTCCTTGAGGGGGGAGGGGGGGATGGTTAACTTCAGGGCTCATCCCACTGGCCATAGAGACAAGAAACACAGAGGAGTCTGGTGTGTGTCAGTTGAGAGATAGAAGAGAAGATTTTCACACAGAAGAAAACGGAGAACCTCAGATAGTCAGCAGAGGAGAGGCAGTGGAAGGAGCAGGAGAACCCCAAATAGTCAGCAGAGGAGAGGGAGTGGAAGGAGCAGGAGAACCCCAGATAGTCAGCAGAGGAGAGGCAGTGGAAGGAGCAGGAGAACCCCAGATAGTCAGCAGAGGAGAGGCAGTGGAAGGAGCAGGAGAACCCCAGATAGTCAGCAGAGGAGAGGCAGTGGAAGGAGCAGGAGAACCCCAGATAGTCAGCAGAGGAGAGGCAGTGGAAGGAGCAGGAGAACCCCAGATAGTTAGCAGAGGAGAGGCAGTGGAAGGAGCAGGAGAACCCCAGATAGTCAGCAGAGGAGAGGCAGTGGAAGGAGCAGGAGAACCCCAGATAGTCAGCAGAGGAGAGGCAGTGGAAGGAGCAGGAGAACCCCAGATCGTCAGCAGAGGAGAGGGAGTGGAAGGAGCAGGAGAACCCCAGATAGTCAGTCGCCATAGAGTTAAATAGAGGGCTCATCTTTGCATCAACTATGGAAGTCGCTGACAGAAGAAGATCTTGAGGCCCTGTTGCTTAAGCTACACCCCCCCCACACTTCCCAGTAAACATGTGACCTCACCTGATCTGCTGATTGGCTGCCGGATGTGTCTCCTGGGGCATGCCAGCTTGCGATGCACCAATCACTGGCTGTGCAGTGGAGAAAGGGTGTTTGGCCGAGACCGTGCTTACTGATAACCTCACAGTAGCAGGGGGCGGGGCAGGGAGAGAGGAGAGAGCTGGAGAGGAGGAGGTGCTGGGTTCAACAGTTAGAGAGAGAGGAGCGGAGGAGGAGGAGGAGAGGAGGTCAGAAGAATTATGCTGCTGGACAAAGGACAACGACCCCAGGGTTACAACGCCAGGGTCGCTGTCGAACGATGGAGTCAGGTCCTCAACGCTGTTCCTCCTTGTGCCCGCCGAGTGGGACCGTTGGAGCGGGTGTTCTTCTGAGAGAGAATGTTGGACTACAACTGACTCCATAAGAGGGTGTTCTGAATATTGATCCTCTGATCTGTAATCCTCAATGTCTTCATTGACCTTCTCACCACTAGACGTCCCCAGTAGTGGACTGACATGTTTTTAGTGGACTGTGAGCTTGAGAACTGAAAGAGTGTAGAAGCGTATTGGAAAGTTCTAGTGAGTTATACGATTCTAAGGCCATGCCGATTGGCCAGTCCTCTATCCTTGCTTCAGAGGATCTGGTCTTCTCTTTATCAACACACATGTCTCCCAGATGGGATCTGGATCGATCTAATGCGTCTGACTGGATGACATCATTATATGTCGCCCAGCATCGATCATCAGAGAACTCCCCCATCAAGTCTAAAGCAGCCATGTTGTCTGAGCCAGTGGCAGAGTGGGATGATGCAGTCGCAGCCTTAGCATAGGACATGTCTTCCTCACAGAGGTGAGAGGTAGCAGAGGGCACAGTCTCAGTCTTTGGGAGGGGAGGGAGGGGTCTCTGGCTAGTTTGGACTGCTGCTGCTGGTTCTTCATCCTTAGTGTTGGGGCTCTTCTCTTCTTCAGGAGGTTTTGGGAAGGGGCCGTGCTCCTTCACACCAGTGTTAGTGCAGTCCTGTGTGTCTGGGCGGTCTTGGGTTAAGGGCAGGATGGGTACAGGGTTAGGGTTGGTGGACCAGGTTTGCGGTGCTACTGAGAGATAGGAGGCAAAGCTAGAACACCAGGGATAGGGCTGGGCAGAGTTACGCTGTAGAGCCTGGTCAGCTAGGAGCTCCTCATAGAAAGGGTTACGCTGGAGGAGAGAGAGGAACGGGTTGGAGGGAGACATGGGGGGAGGAGCCGGGCTGAAGGGGTTAGTGTGGACTGGGGTTCCCAGTGAGTTAGGATCTACAGGAGGGTTAGTGGGGCCCCAGGAGAGCAGACCAAGGGTCAGGGGGGTGAGGTGAGGACCTGAGCTAGGGGACACCACCGGGCTGTGAAAGGAAGGAAGACACACAGTCCTCTTGATTAGTGATGTTTGTTTACAAGGCTAACCCCAGACCCCTATACATGCTGTTCTACTGGACAACATACTGTACCCCCATCCATCTGATCTTCACTGTATCCATCTGATCTTCACTGTATTAGAAGCAGGCCTTACAAAAAGTACACACCTCTTCTAGGGGCCGATTCAGACTTAGGAATTTACACCTTTACGACGCACTTATTTTCCACCATAATTTGCAAATAAATTCATAAAAAATCCTACAATGTGATTTTCTGGATTTTTTTTCCTCAATTTGTCTGTCATAGTTGACGTGTACCTATGATGGAAATTACAGGCCCCTCTCATCTTTTTAAGTGGGAGAACTTGCACAATTGGTGGCTGACTAAATACATTTTTTCCCCGCTGTATGATAAAAATTACAGACCTCTACATGCTTTGTAAGTAGGAAAACCTGCAAAATCGGCAGTGTATCAAATACTTGTTCTCCCCACTGTACATACATACATACAGTGGGGAAAGAAAGTATTTAGTCAGCCACCAATTGTGCAAGTTCTCCCACTTAAAAAGATGAGAGAGGCCTGTAATTTTCATCATAGGTACACGTCAACTATGACAGAAAAATTGAGAAAAAAAAATCCAGAAAATCACATTGTAGGATTTTTAATGAATTTATTTGCAAATTATGGTAGAAAATAAGTATTTGGTCACCTACAAACAAGCAAGATTTCTGGCTCTCACAGACCTGTAACTTCTTCTTTAAGAGGCTCCTCTGTCCTCCACTCATTACCTGTATTAATGGCACCTGTTTGAACTTGTTATCAGTATAAAAAGACACCTGTCCACAACCTCAAACAGTCACACTCCAAACTCTACTATGGCCAAGACCAAAGAGCTGTCAAAGGACACCAGAAACAAAATTGTAGACCTGCACCAGGCTGGGAAGACTGAATCTGCAATAGGTAAGCAGCTTGGTTTGAAGAAATCAACTGTGGGAGCAATTATTAGGAAATGGAAGACATACAAGACCACTGATAATCTCCCTCGATCTGGGGCGCCACGCAAGATCTCACCCGTGGGGTCAAAATGATCACAAGAACGGTGAGCAAACATCCCAGAACCACACGGGGGGACCTAGTGAATGACCTGCAGAGAGCTGGGACCAAAGTAACAAAGCCTACCAACAGTAACACACTACGCCGCCAGGGACTCAAATCCTGCAGTGCCAGACGTGTCACCCTGCTTAAGCCAGTACATGTCCAGGCCCGTCTGAAGTTTGCTAGAGTGCATTTGGATGATCCAGAAGAGGATTGGGAGAATGTCATATGGTCAGATGAAACCAAAATAGAACTTTTAGGTAAAAACTCAACTCGTCGCGTTTGGAGGACAAAGAATGCTGAGTTGCATCCAAAGAACACCATACCTACTGTGAAGCATGGGGGTGGAAACATCATGCTTTGGGGCTGTTTTTCTGCAAAGGGACCAGGATGACTGATCCGTGTAAAGGAAAGAATGAATGGGGCCATGTCTCGTGAGATTTTGAGTGAAAACCTCCTTCCATCAGCAAGGGCATTGAAGATGAATTGTGGCTAGGTCTTTCAGGATGACAATGATCCCAAACACACCGCCCGGGCAACGAAGGAGTGGCTTCGTAAGAAGCATTTCAAGGTCCTGGAGTGGCCTAGCCAGTCTCCAGATCTCCACCCCATAGAAAATCTTTGGAGGGAGTTGAAAGTCCGTGTTGCTCAGCGACAGCCCCAAAACATAACTGCTCTAGAGGAGATCTGCATGGAGGAATGGGCCAAAATACCAGCAACAGTGTGTGAAAACCTTGTGAAGACTTACAGAAAACGTTTGACCTGTGTCATTGCCAACAAAGGGTATATAACAAAGTATTGAGAAACTTTTGTTGTTGACCAAATACTTATTTTCCACCATAATTTGCAAATAAACTATAAAAAATTCTACAATTTGATTATCTGGATTTTTTCCCCACATTTTGTCTGTCATAGTTGACGTGAACCTATGATGAAAATTACTGGCCTCTCTCATCTTTTTAAGTGGGAGAACTTGCACAATTGGTGGCTGACTAAATACTTTTTTTCCCCCACTGTACATACATACATACATACATAATATTTCCCTTCATTACTTTCCAACCCCACCACCCCTTCCCTAATTGGAGTAAACTAGTGAACAACAACGCTTAGGCCTCTACTTCCAGCTTATACATACTATATACATTTTATGGACACAGTCAAATTCTACAATAATTATATTTTGTTTGTTTTTACTCCTGAACTTCCTCTGATCATTTTCATGATGTCCATCCGGTTTGCTTCTATATGCCATATCTTTCTAACTGTGCTCTTTCACAAAAGCTCTCAACCTATGACCTATATACTTATTATGGACACAGTATGCTTTACATTAGTTATCCTGTTGTTATTAGTTGTTGTTATTAGTCCCATCCTTCAAAGCTCCACATAAAACACCTCCCATCTATCTCTTAACACCATCCATATTGGATTTCTATTTGCCATATATATTTCAACTGTACTGTGATGTTTTACAAAAGTTCTGAACCTTTCTATTCTCATTGTTTCTACAGATCGTAAATTGAAAATAAACATTTTTGCTAAAAGTATTATTATATTATTGATCGATTGACTATGACTTTTCAGATCACCCAGTAGTGCTATCTGCAGGGTTAGCTCCAGGTAAATATTGCAATCCTTTAGCCATTCCTGGACCTGTGTCCAAAAACAAGCTACAAATGGACAGTACCAAAACAAATGATCTAATGATTCTGTCTCTTCGCAGCAAAATCTGCAGAGCTGGGAAGATTGTATCCCCCATATAAATAACATTCTATTGGTAGCAAGAACTTTATATAATAATTTAAATTGAAAAATTATACGTTTTGAATCCGGCGTCGTTTTGCGTATCAATTCATAAACACTATGCCATGGGATCGGTACGTCAAAAATCTCTTCCCAACTATTTTGCAATCTATATGGGACGGCTGTCAATCCTTTGGTCCTTAAATGAAACTGGTATACTTTTTTATTTATCACAATTTTCTTTAACCAATTATATTCTTTAATGCAAGGCCGACAGACAAGTTCCTTACTTTTTCCCCCTTCCACTTTCCTCTTCCATTTTTGCCGTAATGCTGCAATTATTTGGTTGTAATTTTGGGTAGAGCAGACATTTGTTTTTGTTAGCTGCATGTGCGACATAACTCCACCAGTCCTACCGATGATATCATTTACGAAGATTATACCTTATTTAAACATTTTGTCAAAAAAAAAAAGGTTTTTTATCAATTAGTATATTTGAGTTTAACCACAATATTTGTTGCATTATTTGTTCTGTCGTTTCTGGAGGATTAAATTGAAATTGCAACCAACTTTCTATGGCTTGGTTTAGAAATAGTGATATTTGGGAGATTATTTCCTTTTCAAATAACTGAAAATGAGCGGTTGTAATCTGAATAAAGGGAAAAAGGCCATTCTTGAACACTGGGTGAGACAATCTTACTAATTTGCTAGAGAACCAGTTCGGATTTAAGTATAACTTTTGTATGACTGAAGCTTTTAGTGATAGGTCTAATGCTTTAATATTTAATAATTTCTGTCCTCCGAATTCATATTCATTATATAAATAGACCCGTTTAATTTTGTCTGGCTTGCCGTTCCAAATAAAATGGAATATCTTTTTCTCATATAATTTTAAAAAACTGTTCGCTAGGCGTAGGCAAGACCATAAGAAAATAGGTAAACTGGGATAATACTAAAGAGTTAAACAGGGTGATTTTTCCACAAATTGACAGGTATTTACCTTTCCATGGTAGCAAGATCTTATCTATTTTTGCTAACTTTCTATTAAAATGTATTGGAGTGAGATCATTTATTTCATTTGGGATATGTATTCCGAGTATATCCACATCACCATCAGGCCATTTTATTGGTAAACTACATGGTAATGTATACATTGTATTTTTTAGTGATCCAATACGTAATATAGTACATTTATCATAATTTGGTTGTAATCCAGAGAGGTTAGAAAATGTATCTAGATCCTCTATGAGGCTGTGGAGGGATTCAAATTGTGGATTTAAAAGAAAACATGAATCATCAGTGTACAATGACACCTTTGTTTTTAAGCCCTGGATTTCTAATCTCTTGATATTATTGTTGGATCTGATTTTAATAGCTAACATCTCGATGGCAATAATAAATAGATATCCCGATAGTGGACAACCTTGTTTCACTCCTCTTGACAGTTTTAAACTTTCTGAGAAATAGCCATTATTTACTATTTTACACCTAGGGTAACTATACATGATTTTAACCCAATTCATAAGAGATTGTCCAAAATTGAAATGCTCCAGGCATTTCTATATAAACTCCAGTCGTACTTTATCAAAAGCCTTTTCAAAGTCTGCTATGAATAGCAGGCCTGGTTTCCCAGATGTTTCATAGTGTTCTATTGTTTCCAATACTTGCCTTATATTATCTCCAATGTATCTTCCATGTAAAAAACCTGTCTGATTAGAATGAATAATATCCGACAATCCCTTTTTAATTCTATGCGCTATACATTTTGCTAGAATTTTTGCATCACAACACTGAAGTGTAAGGGGCCTCCAATTTTTCAAATGGACTTGATCTTTATATTTTCCACTTGTATCCTGTTTCAGTTATAATGAGATCAGACCTTCTTCTTGAGTGTCTGATAATCTACCATTTACATAGGAGTGGTTAAAACATGCTAACAACGGTCCTCTGAGTATATCAAAAAAGGTTTGGTATACCTCGACTGGTATACCATCCAACCCTGGAGTTTTCCCGGACTTAAAGTCTAATTGCATCCAGAAGTTCATCCTCTGTAATTTCACCTTCACATGAGTCTTTCTGTTTGGCTGTTAATTTTACATTATCAATAGAAAAAAAATCTCTACAATTAACTTCAGTTAGAGGAGATTGAGGCGACTGAAACGAAAACATATGCTTAAAGTACCTTGTTTCCTCCTTCAAAATATCATTTGGTGAATCATGGGTGACTCCGTCATTTGTAACCAGTTTCAATAAATTATTTTTGGTAGCATTCCTATGTTGA